CTTTGGAATTGATTTTTCTTAACATTATACTTACATAAGATAAACATAAAGTACTATCACCACCATTCCTGGCATATCGACCAATAAATAACAGATTTCTCTGACAGGACTCTGATGACTGGGCGAAGCCCAAACGCTTTCAGCCAAAATCATAGGGAGCTATAAATCACTCTTTATTTTATAGAATATTTCAAAATGGATTCCTGCTTTCTACCTTGAAAGTCATTTCATGTGTTATTTATAACTAGCGAAGATCAGTAAGAGAAAGAAGGGAAAAATTGCATGGAACCAGAAAATTTACAGTGACTGGGTTTTGGTTTTTTATATAAAACTACTTTTTTAAGGGGAAAACAGAGAGAATAGACTTACTATGACATACAGTCAGAAACCACAAACACCTTTCAGGTGAGGACAAAGTGTAGGTTATAAGTTAAGCAGGATCTAACTAGCACAACAATATCCTAGTTAAGATTAAGGACAGAGAAGTAAACTGTGATCCAAAGATGAAAATACAGAATCAAATTTGGCACCATTCCCAGCCCATGGTATTTCAAAACAGCACTGACTCTGAGATTTATGCCACATTAAGCTGCACTGTGTTTTAATCATAATTTGCTTATCAAGCCACAACTGGTTGGCCTTGTGCATTGGGCTAAAAAACCCCACAGAATTCATATCATAGCTTGCCAAAATAATTTAATGTTGTCAGAAGATGCAATCTGAATTCTCAGTTTCTGATGATTCCTCTCAAATTCTGGTTAAAATATGGACTGAAGGAATTGTATTTAAAAATGTTTCCCAAATCTAACTACAGTGAAGAGTGGGGTATCTGGCAGTAATCTATCTTTAAAAAAAAAATTTTTTTTTTGGTACAACTGGGACCAAACAACCGACTGGGAACACAAAATCTGTACTGGCATTCTGATTCAAACTGGGGTAACAACAACTTTGTTGATGGCTATGATGAACACATTTCCTATTGAAACAAACTCTCTTCCAAGTCCATCTTCATCAAGACTGTTCTGAGACCTCACCTTCTTTGTTCTCCTGTATGAAGTTTCTCAATTCATTTCAGTTACATTCTGCTGTTCCTCTATCTATTCTACTTCTCACAGAAGACAACAGGATCAGACTTCCAGATGAGGCTATTTCCTCACTAGTACTGCTCTTCTCCCAATAACAGAGAAATTCAGAAGGAAGCTGAGCCTTCTCTTTCATTCAGCTTTTATCCTCCTCCATTAAATATCTCAGTCAGTATTGATTAGTACTTGGATTGGAGACTGTTCTGGCAGTTCTGTATTTTTGCCAAGATAATTGGATGATTGTGTCCATAAAGTCACCAGGAATTGAACTGAATTCAAGGATGCTTTTAGCTTCCTCTGCTCCATATTAAAGAATGCAGGCCAGTCTATAGTTTTCCTCGCTCAAGATCACCTAATAAGCTTCGTAGTCTGATCCAAGGTATCCCTGATCTTGGGCTAATATTATAACTCTTAGAGCAAGCTTTAAGGTTCAGAAGTTTGGTTTTGGTTTTTTTTTTAACTGAGATCTGAATAACCAGATGCTGATTAGTTGGCTTATGACAAACATCCATATACTGAAATAAGGAACAGGATCTGCATCATAGGATCCTATGAGCACATATTGAAACTAATTCCTTGTCTGAAGTATCAGAACTGCGTGAACTGAATCCACAAGGCTTTACAATAAAAATCAATTTCTGGATCTGCTACTACACAATCTTCCTAACCCCCAGACCTGCCATTTTAGCAGTCTAATCTAGAATAGGCCTATCAAATCTTGATTGCTAGATGCCCAGATGTCCAGATCTGGCAGCTGTAACTTAGAGCAAGACAGTGGCTGTATTGCAAAAGATGTCTGAACCTTCCACTACGAATTTAATGTAATGGAATGCTTTAATCTGGATTCCTGCAATGAGTAAGGAGTTGGACTCAATGGCCCCTTTCAGTTAAGATCTATAAGTAATCCTCAGGTAACCATGTCTAAACTACTGCACGCTAACCTAACGCATCAACTGAAATCTAGCCTGCAAGCATTCTATAGGTAAAACGTTACAAACACCTAGTTGGTGACTTTCATATATTCCATTAAACCATAGTTTTCTTCACTATAATTAAGCCATAACTGGCTGTGTTCACATAACATGGTATGCCACAGAATACTGATTTATTTATTTATTGAATTTCTCCCCCGCCCATCTCCCCCCAATGGGGGACTCTGGGAGACTCACACAAAACATTAAAACCATAAATACATATAAATACATAAAACATCAAAACTTAAAAAACATTACTAAAAAAGAGGAAAAGGAGAGTCCAATATATAATGGCTGGGTTCACAAAACACCTAGGGCAAAACAAACCAGACTGTGTTTCATAGCAATGTGGAAATATAAATATTTGATTTGATTTATAAATCAAAGCCATTCTGGTTTGTAATGGCTTAGTGCTTTCGTGCAATTTTAGCCAATTGTGAGTTAAAGCCTACAGCTTAGAACAATGTGTGAACCAGACTTCCATTATAGCCTCAAAAACCCAATCATAAACTGGCCATCATAAAAAAAAAGACCATCATCATAAATTGGCACAATAAATGTGCCATGGAACAGTAATCTAAATATATTTGGCATTCTTTGGTCATCGCTTGACACATACTGAATATATTCAAAAACACAATCACATAGGCTAGGTTCCCATATTGGGCTAAACCATAGTACACATTTCTTGTTGCACCTTAACTTACTGCAAAGACTAGTCATCATGGTTTATGGTTCAGGGTGACACATGAACCTAGCCAACTGAGGCTAATGAAAATGGCAAGCTTATAGGATCTGTCATTCATGAACATTATGCCATCCTAGAGGTACCATGACATACTGAGATTGGGTTCATTCATTGTGCTAAGCAATTATTTCTTTAATTAATAGTCCATTTTTAATAATCATGAAGTTAAAAATAGATATGTACATGAGCAGAAGCACTTCAGAAATAACCAGATAGCTAGAGAAAAGAAACAAAAGGAAGATAAGGGAGGAATACATTCCTAGGATATACTATAGTCCCTGGCAAAGGGGACAGTGAGCAAGACATCACAGTTTAACTCAAGATTTACTCAAGTTTGAATGAACCATAATTATCTGCATTCGCACAGCATGTAAAGCCAAAATGTTTTTCAGTTGGTTTTAGCTAAGCATACCATATGACCCCAGGCAGCAGTGGCTTATTCAATAACATTTGGTTAAACAAACCATAGCTTAATGTGTCAGACAGCCTATGTCAGGCCTTCTTAACCCAGTGCCTTTCTATGGCCATGCCAGCTACTGAAAATGGCAGTACTCATCTGGATGATACATCTGGCTTCTGTTGATGTCTGCAACCAACTATAAAGTACTCTACAGAGTATAGATGCTAATAAAAAAATGCATGGACAAATACATCACTGGAAATGGGAATAATTTATTGTTTTAATTTTATGCAGAGTTTTCTTTCACTTTAACTGTGTGTATTTTATGGATCCATTGTAACCCGCCTTGAAATCCTTAAGGCATTTGGCTTAATATACTAGCTATATTAAAAAAAACAGAAAAAATTCCAAGGTGATTGTATCTGCAATCCTTTCGGACCCAACATGCAAAGCAATTAGACCAAACGAGCTAAACACAGTTACAGAAAGAAATAAAGAGTATTACCAGCAATTGACAAGTAAACTGAGGACCGTGAATTGTATGAGGCTTTGTTTATCCATCCAATGCGTTTAGGGATTTCTTCACTAGGAGTCTACCCAGTAAATATCCAGAAGGCTAACTCTGTTAGTCCCATGAGCAAACACAAACCCACCGACCCACCCCAAGATTGATACTGCCTAAGAGAGCCAGTTTGGGGTAGTGGTTAAGGCACCAGGCTAGAAACCAGGAGACGAAGCCAGCTGGGTGACTTTGGGCCAGTCATTCTCCCTCCCTAGAAGACAGTGGCAAAACACTTCCAAAAATGTTGCCAAGAAAACCGCAGGGACTAGTCCAGGCAGTCACCAGGAGTCAAGACTGACTTGAAGGCAAGGAGAGCCAGTTTGGTGTAGTGGTTAAAGAAAGCACCAGGACAGCGACGAAGAGACTGTGAGTTCCAGTCCTGCTATAGACATGAAGCCAGTCCCCCTTTCTCAGCCCCAGGAGAGCAACGGAAATGGATGGTGGCTGTGGCAATGGAAGTGGTTTTCCACTGGCGAGCCAGATTGGTCTAGTGGGCAAGGCAACAGTCTGGTAACCGGGAGGCCGCGAGTTCTAGTCCCGCTTAGACATGAAGCCAGGCGGGGGGCTCTGGGCCGGTCGCCCTCCCTCTCTCAGCCCAGCCCAGCACCGGCAACGGAAGAGCGCGTGCCGCTTTCATGA